ATATATATATATATATATATATATATATATATATATATATATATATATATATATATATATTGTTATACTTAGAAATCTGTGTGAGTTCATGAAGTTGAGAATATTGTTCAGAAAATTTGAACCAATATGGCATGTTGATATTATAATTTTAATTAGTATTTCATATTATTCATATTTCATTTGCGATCTAGCCATTAAGAAAGTTGAAATTAATACATCCACAAGTCAAGGTATAATATAATACTGAGAACATTTATTATCTTAAACAAATATGAGTGAAGAATGCCCAACATAAAAACAACAAAATTTAATAAAGTAAACAAGATTGTATTTTGTTGTGTTATGGCAGTTAATTTGCTAACAAATGTCTATAAAGACATCTTCATGAAAACACACAGTTCATCAAAAAATATCTACAGTTATGTAAGTTTCTCTTTACCTCTTGTAGTTCTTGTAATCGTTTGGCTTCCCTTTCCTCCTCTTCATCGTACACAGGCGTCTTTCGTCCTTTCTTTTTACGCTTTTTTCGTTTCTGTCAACAACAACAAACATTTTTGAAATTCAGGTTAAATTCATGGTCACGATGTGATTTCTCTTTCTACAGTAGAATTTAAGTACAAAAGCCATTTCCATAATTATAAACCTCTCATCATTAATCAACATGCTAATTAATGACATCTCTTCATGGCTCTAATTGACAATTATATAAAACATCAATAAAAAAAAAATTAAAATCAAATAAACTTGAAGTAGATGATCAACACAATTCTCAATATCTGAAATAAGAATGCATGCAACTTTGAAACATTTTTGATACACAGAAAAGCATTTCTATAGCTATTATAGGTGATAATTATCTCTCCTGTATTTTTGAAATCTCTGTCCAAGAAAACAAGAAAAATGTTGTACTTGTTGATTGCAACATATGTCAACCCTGAATGTTCTAAAGTCATGTGATTGACACCTATTGAACATATTGCGATATGTTCGAAACTGAGAATTAGGTCAGAGGTATGAGCACAGTAATGTAAAGGATGAGGTGGAAGTGATTCATGCATATGGATTAAAAAGACTAGTAGGGTGTAGGTGTATCACATTGGCATATTTCAATGGTAAGAAAAAAGCAGTTTTTTACACTAATGTGTTTTCGGCAGACTGTTCTGTTATCAAGCAAACAACAATTTTATGATGGTCATATATAATACTGATACTCAATAATTTTTGTTTAAAAGTTGATGTTGTTATAAATAAATGCAATAAAGAAACTACCATGCAAGGCATTAAAGCAGTCAATGCAATTCAATGGGCATTGAACATCAACTCATGAAATGAATGGACTACTCAACACAATAAGTATTCTTTGAAGATAAAAGACACAATACACTGTTCAGTGAGCTACTAAGTAGACTTTTCAAAAAACAGGTTCAAAAGTTGTCAAATTGTTGCCCAAAAACCGGATTTTGGTAAAAGAAGTTATATAAGTTCACAAGTTGTTGTAGGTATAAATAATATTTAATGGTTTGATTTTTGAGTATACTTTTTTCCCTTTTCACTAAATACTTTTTGTACTGTTATTGTTATTTTGTTTTATTGTGAAAGTCACACACAGATCTGATCAACGCTTTCTCACAATTTTGAATGTTCACTCAGAATGCATGTTACAAACAACAAAGCGTAATATGATAGCGGTTGTGGAAGTAAAACACTGTTTGATTGGTTGAGCAATTTTCTCTGAAGGAATCGTTGTGAATGAGATTTCTTTTTTGAGTTGGTCATATGTATGTGAGCACGTAAGCAGCAAAATTAAAGATGACACAAAACGCTTGTACAATACATCTTGATTTTAACAAGACTGGGTATAGGGGTATACATGTACTTGGAAAATACAAAAAAATCAATGATCTATTGATTTTTAGTAGTATATTCTAATGTTGCTATTTTCTTGTATATTTTTACTAAATACATTACTGATGTTTTTAATATTTCAAAAATGTATTTTTTTTCTTTACGGTGTCAATAAAGTACTATTCTATTCTATTCTACTGTAAAATGACTAATTCTATTCTATTCTATTCTATTCTATTCTATTCTAAGCATTTATTACTCATGTCTTCATTTATTTTAATTTGAATAATAATAGAAAATATACAAGTCGTTCAAAAGACTGACGCGCTTTAGTTATTTTCAAAGTAAGCAGGTCAACAACAATCAGTTTAATCTGAATTCTGACTGTGATAGTTATAAAAAACACTTGCTATACTCACCCTATCAGGAATTGGTGATTGATTTAGGGGCATATGACGACTCGTTAAAAACTTAGTTCTCAGTGTGTCATATGACATGTCCGATACAGGAAGACTAGCAGATGATTTCTGTGATTGTCTTGTGGACGGTCTGGATCTTGCCTGGTAATGTGAAAAGTATGTTAAATAAACTTAAAAAATAAAAATGAATGTGTAATAAAGTGTAATACAATAATTTTAATTGTGCTGAATGAATAATCATTCCCAGGAAAGAAAGGGGATATTTAGACTTTTATTTGACAAAAATTATGATTTTCCCATTTACTAATTTGTTGTTGTTGTTTTGTTTGTTTTTTTGTTGCTTTTTTCCTGTGACCTAACATACATATTTTAAAAAGAACACTGAAAACAACAGAAAGATTCTATTATCAACAACAGTAGTGTTGACTCATATTGTTACCTGGGTGTAATGATTCATGTGAATGACTATTTTACTGATACAAGAAAAAACAGGCAATTAAAGCTACCCATGCATTATAGAAAGTATGTACAGCTCAGGTAGGAGTATTACTATTATTAATTGAAATCAAAACTAATTTGTTTTAAATATTTTAAAAAAATTAAAAATCAGTTTGGTAAACAAGCATTTCCTGAACAACAAAAAATTAAAAGTGCAAAATATATTGAAAATGAGAGAATCTACAAAAATGTATATATATATTTTATCACCATGAAATTCTGAAGCAGTTTATAAAACAATGACACAAAACTATACAAAATATAAAAAAAAAATCAAAGTTGAGAATGTATGCAGAGTTTAAAAACAACTACAGTTTTGAACCATACCTTGCGACATTAAATTCTAAACAAAGAATTATTATGTCTAAATTTAGAACAAGTAACCACAATTTAGCAAGGAAGGCAAAGACAACCTTAGAAAATAGTAAATTTGTAAACAATGTTCACTAAATGAGATTGAAGATGAATTACATTTTTTTACTACTTTGCCCTAAATATTATTTAGACCAACAAAAAATCCTGACAAAAGTTCCTTTCTAAAATAACAATTCAATTCAGAAACTTGAATATCTATTAGAAAATAAAGATTATGAAATGATCAAAAGACGATTCACAACACGAAATAAAATTGCATAATTTTTCTTTTGATGTTACTTGTATATGTATCACTTTTTAGTTTCAATTGTCCATATATTTATTGCTGACAACTGATAGAAATGTTCTTTTTCAAAATATGCGATAAAATGTTACTGATACTATTACTGAAGCCCGTGTATAAAAATGTGTACGACACTAAGCCGAGATTCTCAGCAGATCGCAATGTGATCGTTTCTGCACGGCACGGAATTAACGATATATCCACTGTGGATATATCAACTCCAATCAACTAAAACTGTACAACGCTACATGGGTGCTAAGGCAATTAGCATTCGTCTGAGGCCGTCGTCTACAATCAATTACAGGAAATCTACCCGGTTAGGAACCTTGATATCACCGCATTTACGAAAAATGACAACCTACCTCAGCTGAACCATTTTTTCGACCTTTCTCGTCAATAAATGAGACCTCTTTTTGCTCCCTTTCTTTGACTTCCAGGAGCTGATCAGTCTTTTCCTCAGCCATCGTTGTTGTTTTGGCAACAGGCCCCTTGACCTTTTACCCTCGGTTTAGCGCCCTCGTCAATTAAATTTGGTGAGGATCCTAGATGCGATATTGAATTTCTTTGGTTTAGATAAATTTTATCTTAAAAAAAGAACGAATAGTTGAAAACTAGTAAATGTATTGCATTGTTAGTTCTTGTGTGACAATTCCAGTTAAAATTCAAACCTGACTAAACGAACTGTGCAGAAAGAACGACGTCACACGATCTGTGAGATTGTACGAGATTTTGACTTGTGATTTCAACATGTCGACTGAAGATTGGAACGAAGTGAAACGTCTGGCAGCAGACTTTCAGCGTGCGCAGCTGAGCAGTGCTGCCCAGAGGTGAGTTACTTGAGCAGGGTAATAAAACTGGTTGTTCTCCTAACATAGATACCATTTCTTAGCCGTTAGTCATTGGCAATGAACCAAAATATTGGTCATAATAATTACATGTAATAATTATATTGAGAATTAGTAGTATTTTAATTTACTCTTGGTCAACATTTTTGAATATTAATTAATATTAGTGTCATGCAAGCATAATAATTGAAAGAGAATGAACTGAAGGTGTGTGCTTTGTATGCTGACCATTTATTATTTTTTGTCGTATCGACGATTTTATTCACTCTGAAGAGGGCGCTGTGTATGATTCAATGTATGGTTAGGTTTTCCCACAGGGAGCCCAGGAACTATAATCGACTATCAACTGTAAGTACGCAGTTCTCTATGAGCGGGGGGGGGGGG